CCAATGATACTTTTAAACTGAGAAGCAAAGCTTTTCAAAGTAAAGACTAGGGTGTGTCAGAGTACCAGCTCGCACGCGTCATATGTAATGAGATATGAATGTTTTTTCCCAAACAGGCTTACCTGTATGGGGTTCTTACTCCTTTCAAAGGGTTGCATCCCTGGGCCGCATGATTTTGCCTCTGTCTCCGGGCTTGCATCCCACTCTAGGTGCGTTGGGCCGCATGAGTTTGCACTTGTCCCCCCCTTGTCTCCCACTCTGCGTGCCTTGGGCCGCATGAATTTATACTTGTCTCCCCCTTGTCTCCCACTCTGGGTGCCTTGGGCCGCATGAGTTTACACTTGTGTCCCCCTTGTCTCCCACTCTGGGTGCCTTGCAAGGGCCGCGTGAGTTTACACTTGTCCACTCTGGGTGCCTTGGGCCGCATGAGTTTACACTTGTCTCCCCCTTGTCTCCCACTCTGGGTGCCGGCCGCATGAGTTTACACTTGTCTCCGCCTTATCTCCCACTCTGGGTGCCTTGGGCCGCATGAGTTTACACTTGTCTCCCCTTGTCTCCCACTCTGGGTGCCTTGGACAGACAAGACCGGAGAGGCGGACACCACTACTCAGTGAGACACATGAAGCAAGACAAATGAAGGGAGACAAGGCACAGACAAGACCGGAGAGGCGGACACCACCACTCAGGGAGACACATGAAGGGAGACAAGGCACGACAAGACCGGAGAGGCGGACACCACCACTCAGGGAGACAAATGAAGAGAGACAAGGCACAGACAAGACCGGAGAGGCGGACACCACCACTCAGGGCAAATAAAGGGAGACAAGCACAGACAAGACCGGAGAGGCGGACACCACCACTCAGGGAGACACATGAAGGGAGACAAGGCACAGACAAGACCGGAGAGGCGGACACCACCAGTCACAAAGAGGTGGACACATCTTAAGAAAGAATTGAGAACCCCCAACAGTAAACTGTTTGGGGAATAACAATATTTAATTCGATTTTGTTGAATGCAATATCACAATATATCACAATACAACAGAATATAATATAACACAATAAATTAGCAAAATATAAGCATGTAAACCAGTACCATATGATAGAATGTGATTTAACATGCGATGGTGCAATATATAACGGTATAATTTCAAATTTTATGACACAATTTTACCCCTCATGATATAACATAATATGGTATATTTAAATATATAATAGTATAAAATGATATACTATGAAATGATGATATATCATCTTGATTTAGTCTCGTACAACATGATATAACGCATTATTTTTTGTTTGTAAATAATACATAATACGACATATTAGAAGATAATAGTATAATGCGATACAGTACAGCGCAATACAATATAATACAATATAACAAATTGTAACATAACATGGCATAGCATAAAATAAAACAACATAACATAACATAATGACATGTAAAATAATATAACATCATATTTATATAGTAGCATAAGACAACATAATTTGATAATTATATATATATATATGTATATATGTATATATGTACATTGTACATACATATGATATCTTCAGAGGGGCAAGGGCTGCGGGGCGAGGTTTCATCTCCTGGCTGCGCTTTGCGTTGGCTGTGGCTGCCGTGTGGCTGGGGAGAAGAAGGCGAACATGGGTGGAGTTCCTGGGAAGATGTGATGTACCTACATTTGATTACATTTGCATATGGTGAGTTCGTCCATATTCTGTAAACAGCATGATGTCAAGCATGCATATAAGAACACACATTCACACACACGCACACACACACACCCACATATATATATATAATATACATATATATACACTTATTTAGCTGTTTACATTTATAGACGCGCATATACATATGCAAATGCACATGCACATGCACACATACACATACACATACATACATACATGCATGCATGCATGCATGCATGCATGCATGCATGCGTACACACATACACACACACATACCCACATACATACCTACATACATGCATACATACATGCATGCATGCATACACGCACATACATACATACATACATACATACATACACACACACACATACACGCATACACACATACACACATACACGCACACACGCATACACACATACATTTAGTAATTCGTTCATTCTTTCATTCGTTCGTTCATTCATTTATTCATTCGTTCCTTCATTCATTCATTCATTCGTTCATTCATTCATTCATTCAGTCATTCATTCATTCAGTCATTCATTCATTCATTCATTCATACATTCATTCATTCATTCATTCATTCATTCATTCATTCATACTTATATACATGCATACATACATACATACATACATACATACATACATCCATGCATACATACATACATACATGCATGCATGCATGCATGCATGCATGCATACATACATACATACACACGCGCACACACGCATACATACACACATATGCTCAACATTTTTTGCATGTATTTGCTGTTGGGCGATGTGGGTTTGGGAACCTATTACTCTTCCAAAACTGATCAGGTGGACGAGGTGACGGAAGGTTTTCCAGCCTTGCTCTCAAAGGGCTATCAATGTCGGGCCAAATGCGGTACCAATGGAACCACAAAAAATTGTCATTTTCCGGAAACTATCCATTTTGGGTGTTCAACCTTTTGATATCATACCTTTGCGAATAGAGGGGTCGGAGGGTAAGAGGGGATTTCCGGTGAATATGTCTATACAATTAGGATCATTTCACATCTCAAGAAAATATGCTGACGATTGTCGCAGGAAGTCAGAAGTCAAACTTCCCTCAATATGGACAGATGAAAAGCAGAGATGGGAAGAGGCAGAGAGAAGAGAAGAGTAGAAGAGAGCAGATCAGAGAAGAGAAAGAGTCAGAAGAAAGAAGATGCAGATGCGCGAAAAGTCGCAAAACACTGTGTTTTTCCAATGATTTGTGGCTCCGGACAGTCAAAAAGTAGGCTCGCTAAAGCGGCGGGTGCGGAGTCAGCTGGCCAGATGAGAGATGAAAAATTGCACGTCGTTGTGGCGCGAAGCACATTTGCAAGAGAAAAAGCTAAAAACACTTCGCGTTCAGACCACTTTTGGAAATTGCGATGTCGAAAAAGTGCACGCCGTTGTGGCGCGAAGCACATTTCGAAGTCAAAATGTACAAAACACACGAGGGTCGGAGCACTTTTGGAAGTTGACATGTCGAAAAAGTGCACGCCGTGTGGCGCGAAGCACATTTCCAGGTCAAAATGTTAAAAGCATTACATGCTCGGACCAGTTTTGAAGCTTCAGATGTAGTTTTTGCGTGGCAGGCGCAAGGGATTGTGGACATTGTCAAAAGTGAGCAACGCGTGAGGCAAAGATGCATTTTCCGTGGCAAGCGCAGTACAAGTTGTACAAGAGACATGTTCATCAGAGCTGTTAGGAGGTCCCTCGCTGATTTCCTGAGAGGGGTTGCATTTTGGAGCATCAGATCTGTAGGTTTGCTAAGATGATTTTGCGTGACAGGTGCGGCACTTCGTATGACCTGGCATCACTTATTCGTGGCAGGCGCAGTACTTTCGACAGGTGGAGTGGAAACATCGCAAAACGCATTGGTACGAGGCTGTCAGCGCTGCACTTAACTTTCCATTTTTGAAGGAAGTCTCGAAGAATTGCTTTGTTTTTGATGTTGTCAAGTTCAAAAATTGAAGAAGTCTCGCAGAATTGATTCGTCGTGGATGTTGTCAAGTTCCAAAACTGCAGACATCTCGTAGACTTGTTTCGTTTTTGATGTTGTCAACGTCGAAAAATGAGGAAGTCTCGCAGACTTGCTTCGCTTTCAAGCTTGCAGATAGACAGATAGATAGATAGACAGACAGACAGACAGAGAGAGATAGATAGATGAATAGATCGATCGATCGATAGACAGATAGATAGATAGATAGATAGATAGATGGACAGATAGAAAGATAGATAGATCGATAGATAAATAGATAGATAGAGAGAGAGAGATAGATCGATCGATTAGATAGATAGATAGAAAGATAGATAGATAGAAAGATAGATAGATGGACAGATGGAAAGAAATAAAGATAGATAGGTAGATAGATAGATACATAGTTAGATAGAAAGATGGGATAGATAGATAGCGAGATAGAGAGATAGATAGAAAGAGAGAGAGATAGAGAGATAAATAGATAGATAGATAGATAGATAGATAGATAGATAGATAGATAGATAGAGAGATAGATGGATGGATGGATGGATGGATAGATAGATAGATAGAGAGAGAGAGATAGATAGATAGATAGGTAGATAGATAGATAGATAGATAGATAGATAGAGAGAGATGGATGGATGGATGGATGGATAGATAGATAGACAGATAGATAGATAGATGGTTAGATAGATCGATAGATAGATAGATAGATAGATAGATAGATAGATGGTTAGATAGATAGATAGATAGATAGATAGATAGATAGACAGACAGATAGATAGATAGATAGATAGACAGATAGACAGATGGATCGGTAGGTAGATAGATAAATAGATACAGAGATAGATCGGTAGGTAGGTAGGTAGTCAGAGAAAGAGAGAAAAAAGAGAGAAAGAGAGGAGACCTCAACCACCTGTCGGTCCATCAGTGGCTTCGCTCTGCCATCCGTGATTCACATCAACCAACCCCTCCTATAGGTTTCCTATTTTTGAAACTTCTGCCACCGCCTTGTGCGGTACTACTGGTAAATAATGTATCAGTAACTGACATTTTGAGAGGTCACGTTGTGATGTTGTCATTTGTGCAACACTTCCCAAGTAGTATCCAATGAATCTTCCGTTGTGATTCTGGAGGCAGGCATGTGGATTTTGCTGTTTGAGATTCACAGTTTCACATCCTTTCCTGAGTGGCACCTTGAGTCTGTGTAGCCCAGGACCCAATCTGTGGAGCATGACGCGCAACCGCCACCCTTTTGGAAACGGCCTTGTTATAGCCTGCAAAAAGTTACCTTCGTGGCAGGCAGGCAATCATGCCTGTAGCAGCCATGGTAGCTGTGCGCGACCCTCGGAACTGGCTAGTTGTTCAACCCAAAAACAAGGACCAAATGAAACGTATTGGGTAAAGACATTAGCTTCGCGCTCAGCTGCGCAGTGCCAAGTGTACAGATGCACTCCAGACATGGGTCAAAATGTGCAACGTTGGGAATCTTCTGCCCTCTTGGAGCGACAATGATTTCTTGGAAAGTTTGTTTGGAATGGATTTGGATGGTCAAAAGTGGGCCCTCCAAAGCTGAATGGGATCGTTTTTCAATTTTCATCCGTACCGAGTTGTGCTTTTGAGCTTTCCAGTTCTTGCAATCATGGGGTGCAGAGGGGCAGTTGGATTCGTTTTTGCAGACGATTTTCACAGCCAGAGAGCTGGCTAGTAATGGGTACCGTATGGCTCGATGACAAAACATGGGGCGCTAGAGGGTGGTCAGCGACCCACAACATTGGTATACCATGTTATACCCTCAGTTTGAACCCTTCAAATTGATTAGTTTGTGGGTGAAATCTTGTGCCATACCCAGGCCTGGGGGCTTTCTGAAAGAGCTCTCAGACAGCCAAGGATGCGGTCTATGTGGCCTTTCTAGGGCAAATTGTGTAAATTTAGAGGGATGCATTCGCAGAACTATGACGAACCCAAAAGCTGCGAAACTAACTTTTGTTTTTTTATCAGTTGCTGATGGTGCTTTGCCTTTCCAGTTTGGTGGGAACCCCCACCGATGGGCAGTATCTGAAAAGACTGCTATCTGCAGGGTTGTTGGTGAATTATGTCTAAAACCTTCTGAAATCATGGTTGACCAATGGCATTCTGGAGCTTTCCAGAACACCCCCGTAGCAAGTGAGGGCGACTGAACCCGTGCCTTGCGCCACGCGCCAAAGCGCGGGCCTCGCTGCAGGGCAAACCGTAGTGGCTCTGTCGAAAATGCCCAGCGGCTTTTTCTACAGGGTGGTTAACAACCTAGGAGTCCTGTGATGAGGACTGTTGAGGAATGATGCTTTCTATTGCTTTCTGCACCTGGTGCTTTCTTATCTCTTTCTTTCATGTTTGGCTCAAAGTGGACTCTCGGAAATTGGATGGCTCAGTGCAGAAATGAGACCTGAAGGTTGCCATCAATCCATGTCAGTCTGAAAAGCTTTCAGATCTTTCAGCAGGGCTCCAGGGTTCGCAAAAATCCAAGGGAAACATACGGGAAATATGTGATGCTGGCAATGGGTGATCAGCCTTTAAGCATATTTTGTTGGCTCAGATGTCTGACGGAGTTGAAACTGAGTGTCGGGCCACAAACACGAAGAGTCGTAGGATTCATTCAGATCTTAATTTGATATGATCTGTGCATATGATGGATCATGCTGCAGACGAGGACGTTTCACGTGCTTGTGCTGTGGCTGGAGTGTCCTTTCCAGCTTAGTTCCCTAAAGCTGGAGTTACCTGAAACAATTTCGTTGGCTTGGACGACAGTTGATGCAGTGGTGAAGCATGTTAAACCCTTGTTTCCGTCATTCTTGGACCCAGATCTCCCCATATGTATAAAATGTATTTGTTGCTTTCTTTTCGGGGCAATTTGCAGTTGAAACCCGTTGATAAGTGAAAAAATTGAGTGCGACCTCACTGTGATGTCGCTGGATAGATGGCCGATAACAGGAATCGACCCCCCATTTGGTGGCCTCACTTTGAAGTTCGTGAATGATGATACCAGTAGTACCGCACAAGGCGGTGGCGGAAGTTTCAAAAAAAGGAAACCTATAGGAGAGATTGGTTGTTGTGAATCACGGATGGCAGAGCGAATCCACTGATGGACCGAAAGGTGGTTGGAGCTGCGTTTTTTGGAATGGTTGCAATGGTTGCAGTGGTCACCTCACCACAACTGTTGGATGTAGTGTGGTGTAATGGTTATAGTTGTAGTTGCAGTTGTAGCTGTAGTTGTAGTGTGGTGTAGTGTAGTGGAGCTCTAGCTGAAATGTGGTGTAATTAGTGTATTTGCAAGTGCTGTTGCAGTTGTAGTCGTGGTGTGGTGTAATTAGTGTAGTGTAGTGCAGCGTAATGTCGTGTAGTGTAGTGTAGTGTAGTGTGGTATAGTTTAGTGTAGTCTAGTGTAAGGTAGTGTAGTTGTAGTTGTGATGTAGTGCAGTGTAATTAGTGCAGTGTAGTGTAGTGTAGTGGTAGTTGTAGTGTAGTGCGGTGTAATTAGTGTATTGCAGTGTAATGTAGTGTAGTGTGGTGTAGTGTAGTGTAGTGTGTGTCGTGTAGTGTAGTGTAGTGTAATGTCATGTAGTGGCAGTTGTTGTTGTATTTGTAGTTGTATCTTTCTATCTTTCTATCTATCCATCTATCTGTCTGTCTATCTATCTATCTATCGATCTATCTATCTATCTATCGATCTGTCTGTCTGTCTATCTGTCTATCTGTCTATCTGTCTGTCTAGCTGCAAGCTTGAAAACGCAGCTATTTTGCGACACCTCTCAGTTTTTGAACTTGACAACATCAAAAACGCAGCAATTCTGCGAGACGCCCTTAATTTTTGAACTTGACAACGTCAAAAACGGAGCAATTCTGCGAGACGTCCTCATTTTTCGACGGTGACAACATCAAAACGAGACAATTCTGCGAGACGTCCTTCAAAAATGGAAAGTTGAGTGCAGAGCTGACGGCCTCGTACCAATGCGTTTTGCGATTTTTTCCATTCTACCTGTCTAAAGTACCGCGCCTGCCACGAATATGTGATGCCAGGTCATACGAAGTGCTGCTTCTCTTCTCTGACTCTTCCCATCTCTGCTTTTCATCTGTCCATATTGTCGGAAATTTGACTTCTAAACTTCCTTCGATCATTTATCCAGAATCTTCACTTGTTGCTTAGTTATACCCCCACTATTTTCCCATAAATAAAGCCCCATTAGTCCCCATCAATCCGTTATTGTTGGAGTCAAGATAAAATTAAAACCCAAGTTCTTGCTTGCACCCCCATGATATCCCAATCATTCCCTCCTAAAAAAGTCAGCTCCAGATAGCAGTGTGATTCACATTCCAGCTTATTCCAATATTTTGCAGCTTATTTTCCTATTGTACCCACAGTTTCTCCATATTTCTTTGCAGAGATTTTCCTCCGAAGTTCCTTGCCGACATGGCAGAGGAGCCGCGGGTCCTGCGTTTGGTGCGCCAGCTGGCAGATTCCTCCTGGCAAAAACGTGCTGAAGCTGTCGAGGAACTGGTGGCAGATGGCAAGGCGCGGATGATATGGATGGTAGGAACTTGGGAGAAACATGATTCACACACACACACACACGTATACATATACATATGTATAATTATAGGGAAACTTATATATACATATAGTTAATAAACAATAACATAAAAAAGGAATAAAATAATATGATATATCATAATATAATATATTGTAATAAAATGAAATAAAATATAATACAATATAATAAAATATAATATAATATAATACAATATAATATAATATAATACCATATAATGCCATATAATAAAATAACATATAATATAATATAATACCATACAATACAATATAATATAATATAATATAATACCATATAATATAATATAATACCATATAGTATAATATAATCTAATACCTTATATTATAATACAATTTAATATATTAAAAAATGATATAATAAAAAATGATATGATGTGATATGATGTGATATGATATGATATGATATATATATACACATATGTATATACATAGCCATGCATGTACTAAGATGGTGATGGAGAGAGAGAAACACACACACATACACATAGGTATATATATATATATATGTATATGGGTAGATAAAAAATCATATCCTTGCCCAGTGTGTACATAAATGACATGTTCATGCTTCGTGTTTTTTCTGTTGGGTCTTTGCTACCCGGATGCGCGGAGATGTGTGGATTTGTGGATGTGCGCCGCGGGACATGTTGTGAAACTTGGCCGTGATTGCTTGGTTCAAGCTCATCATAGAGCTGTGGTATAGATTTTTGGTATAGATTTTTGGTTGGCTTGATTCATCCCAGAAGTGTGAGACCGAAGACCGGCGCACAGAAGAATCTTACTTTCTCAGCCCTTGCTTGAGTCAGGGCTTTTTGCGGACTAGGTCGAAACACGAGCCTTGCCCGAACAAGTCTGGCTTCGATTCGAATCAAGCAGAACCACAACAAGAAGACCTTGAAAAAACATGCTACGCCTAGCTGTGAAACGAACTCATACCAGTGCCATACGCAGTCACCATCGGCATCGTCCAGGAGGCTCACAATCCAATGCGTTGTTTGACCTCCCCAGCTACGTCATTTGTGACTCAAAGGCCAAGGGAGTCATCCGATATGCTACCCAGGGTTTTCAGGACCTTTTTGGTTGCACGGCCAATGACTGTGAAGGCCAGAAGTTGAGCCCAGCAAATTTGCTCCAGTCCCATGAACTGAAGAAGATTTCTCTAGAGGCTGGGCTGTCCTGCAGTGAAGTGGCCACAAGCATCCACCGAATGACCCGAGCGGCAGAGGAGGCTGTGCAATGCGCAGCTGGTACCTGCCAGGTACCGGCCCATGTACCTGTTCTGCTGAGCCACAGCAGTGGAGAATTGTTTGCGTGTGAGATTAGTTGGCGCAAGAATGTGCACCCAACCCTGGGTTGGTCTTATCATGCGGGCTTGGTGCAAAAGATCTCAAAAGACATTTCTGTCCATGGCCTACTAGTAGCTGCTTCTCAGGAAACGAGTTATGCAGAACTCCGCGCAGAGCGGGCTGAAACAATTCAAGATGGATTCTCCCAAGAACTCGCTGAGGAACTGCATGCCGCAGCCGAGAAGATGTGGAAGGATGAACTGGCGAAAGGCGTCAAATGATCTCAAAGGGCTATCAATGTCGGGCCGAATGCGGTACCAATGGAACCACAAAAAGTTGTCATTTTCAGGAAACTATCCATTTTGGGTGGTCAACCTTTTGATATCATACCTTTGTGAATGGAGGGGTAAGAGGGTAAGAGGGGATTTCCGGAGAATATGTCTATACATTTAGGATCATTTGACATCCCAAGAAAATATGCTGATGATTGTAAATAATGTATCAAAAACTGACATTTTGAGAGGTCACGTTGTGATGTTGTCATTTGTGCAACATTTCCCAAGCAGTATCCAATGAATCTTCCGTTGTGATTCTGGAGGCAGGCATGTGGATCTTGCTGTTTGAGATTCACAGTTTCACATCCTTTCCTGCCTTAGTGGCACCTTGAGTCTGTGTAGCCCAGGACCCAATCTGTGGAGCATGACGCGCAACTGCCACCCTTTTGGAAAGGGCCTTGTTATAGCCTGCAAAAAGTTACCTTCGTGGCAGGCATCATGCCTGTAGCAGCCATGGTAGCTTTGCGCGGCCCTCGGAACTGGCTAGTTGTTCAGCCCAAAAACAAGGACCAAATGAAACGTATTGGGTAAAGACATTAGCTTCGCGCTCAGCTGCGCAGTGCCAAGTGTACAGATGCACTCCAGACATGGGTCAGAATGTGCAACGTTGGGAATCTTCTGCCCTCTTGGAGCGACAATGATTTCTGGGAAAGTTTGTTTGGAATGGATTTGGATTGTCAAAAGTGGGCCCTCCAAAGCTGAATGGGATCGTTTTTCAATTTTCATCCGTACCGAGTTGTGCTTTTGAGCTTTCCAGTTCTTGCAATCATGGGGTGCAGAGGGGCAGTTGGATTCGTTTTCGCAGACGATTTTCACAGCCAGAGAGCTGGCTAGTAATGGGTACCGTATGGCTCGATGATAAGACATGGGGCGCTACTGGGCTAGAGGGTGGTCAGCAACCCACATGGTATACCATGGTATACCCTCAGTTCGAACCCTTCAAACTGATTGGTTTGGGGGTGAGACCTGGGGGCTTTCTGAAAGAGCTCTCAGACAGTCAAGGATGCGGGCTATGTGGCCTTTCGAGGGCAAACGATGTAAATTTAGAAGGGTGCATTCAAAGAACTATGCCGAACCCAAAAGCTTTAAAATTAATTTTGATTTTTTATCAGTTGCTACTAAATTTTGATGGTGCTTTGCCTTTCCAGTTTGGTGGGAACCCCCACCGATAGGCAGTATCTGAAAAGACTGCTATCTGCAGGGTTGTTGGATCTGAATTATGTCTAAAACCTTCTGAAATCATGGTTGACCAATGGCATTCTGGAGCTTTCCAGAACACCCCCGTAGCAAGTGAGGGCGACTGAACCCGTGCCTTTGGCCACGCGCCAAAGCGCCGGCCTCGCTGCAGGGCAAACCGTAGTGGCTCTGTCGAAAATGCCCAGCGGCTTTTCCTACAGGGTGGTTAACCACCTAGGAGTCCTGTGATGAGGACTGTTGAGGAATGATGCTTTCTATTGCTTTCTGCACCTGGTGCTTTCTTATCTCTTTCTTTCATGTTTGGCTCAAAATGGACTCTCGGAAATTGGATGGCTCAGTGCAGAAATGAGACCTGAAGGTTGCCATCAATCTATGTCAGTCTGAAAGGCTTTCAGATCTTTCAGCAGGGCTCCAGGGTTCGCAAAAATCCAAGGGAAACATACGGGAAATATGTGATGCTGGCAATGGATGATCAGCCTTTAAGCATATTTTGTCGGCTCAGATGTCTGACGCAGTTGAAACTGAGTGTCGTCGGGCCACAAACACGAAAAGTCGTAGGATTCACCTAGATCTTAATTTGATATGATCTGTGCATATGATGAATCGTGCTGCAGACGAGGACGTTTCACGCGCTTGTGCTGTGGCTGGAGTGACCTTTCCAGTTTAGTTCCCTAAAACAGGAGTTACCTGAAGCAATTTCGTTGGCTTGGACGACAGTTGATGCAGTGGCTGCAGTGGTGAAGCATGTTAAAACCTTGTTTCCGTCATTCTTGGACCCAGATCTCCCAATATGTATAACATGTATTTGTTGCTTTCTTTTCGGGGCAATTTGCGGTTGAAACCCGTTGATATATAAATGAACAAATTGAGTGTGACCTCACTGTGATGTCGCTGGATTGATGGCTGATAACAGGAATCGACCCCCAATTTAGCGGCCTTACTTTGAAGTTCGTGAATGATGATACCAGTAGTACCGCACAAGGCGGTGGCGGAAGTTTCAAAAATAGGAAACCTATAGGAGAGATTGGTTGTTGTGAATCACGGATGGCAGAGCGAATCCACTGATGGACCGAAAGGTGGTTGGAGCTGTGTTTTTTGGAATGGTTGCAATGGTTGCAGTGGTCACCTCACCACAACTGTTGGATGTAGTGTGGTGTAATGGTTATAGTTGTAGTTGCAGTTGTAGCTGTAGTTGTAGTGTAGTATAGCGTAGTGAAGCGGTAACTGTAATGTAGTGTAATTAGTGTAGTGTAGTGCAGCGTAATGTCGTGTAGTGTTGCGAAATGTAGTGTAGTGTGGTATAGCGTAGCATAGTCTAGTGTAAGGTAGTGTAGTTGTAGTTGTGATGTAGTGCAGTGTAATTAGTGCAGTGTAGTGTAGTGTAGTGGTAGTTGCAGTGTAATGCAGTGTAACTGTAGCGTAATGTAGTGTAGTGTAGTGCAGTGTAGTGAAGTGTAGTGTAGTGTAGTGTAATGTCATGTAGTGGCAGTTGTAGTTGTAGTTGTATCTTTCTATCTTTCTATCTTTCTATCTATCTATCCATCTATCTATCTATCGATCTATCTATTTGTCTGTTTGTCTATCTGTCTGTCTATCTGCAAGCTTGAAAACGAAGCTATTTTGCGACTCTCCTCAGTTTTTGAACTTGACAACATCAAAAACGCAGCAATTCTGCGAGACGTCTTTGATTTTTGAACTTGACAACGTCAAAAACGAAGCAATTCTGCGAGACGTCCTCATTTTCGACGGTGACAACATCAAAACGAAACAATTCTGCGAGATGTCCTTCAAAAATGGAAAGTTGAGTGCAGAGCTGACGGCCTCGTACCAATGCGTTTTGCAATTTTTCCACTCCAGCTGTCCAAAGTACCGCGCCTGCCACGAAAAAGTGATGCCAGGTCATACGAAGTGCTGCACCTGTCACAGAAAAATCATCTCAGCAAACCTGAAGATCTGAGGCTCCAAAATGGAACCCCTCTCAGGAAATCAACGCCCGGACATCCTAACAGCTTTGATGAACATGTCTCTTGTACTGCGCCTGCCACGGAAAATGCAAAGATTTTGCACTTTGACTTCGAAATGTGCTTTGCGCCACAACGGCGTGCACCTTTTCGACATCTCAACTTCGAAAAGTGGTCCGAACATGGTGTGTTTTGTACATTTTGACTTCCAAATATGCTTCGCGCCACAACGGCGTGCACTTTTTTGACAGCTCAACTTCCAGAAGTGTTCCGAACGTGAAATGTTTTTAGCCTTTTCACTTGCAAATGTGCTTCGCGCCACAACGGCGTGCAATTTTTCATCTCTCATGTGGCCAGATGGCTCCGCACCCGCCGCTTTAGCGAGCCTACTTTTCGACCCTCCGGAGCCACAAATCATGGGATAAACGCTGTGTTTCGCGACTTTCCTACCTTTTCGCGCACCTGGGTCTTCTTTCTTCTCACTCTTTCCCTTTGTGATCTTCTTTCTTCTTCTCTTCTTTTCTCTTCTCTGACTCTTCCCATCTCTGCTTTTCATTTGTCCAAATTGTCGGAAGTTTGACTTCTAAACTTCCTTCGGTCATTTGTCCAGAATCCTCACTTGTTGCTTAGTTATACAATCCTACCCCCACTATATTCCCATAAATAAAGCCCCATTAAGCCCCAATTCGTTATTGTTGGAGTCAAGATAGATTAAAACCCAAGTTCTTGCTTGCACCCCCATGATATCCCAATCATTCCCTCCTAAAAAAGTCAGCTCCAGATAGCAGTGTGATTCACATTCCATCTTATTCCAATATTTTGCAGCTTATTTTCTTATTGTACCCACAGTTTCTCCATATTTCTCTCCAGAGATTTTCCTCCGAAGTTCCTTGCCGACATGGCAGAGGAGCCGCGGGTCCTGCGTTTGGTGCGCCAGCTGGCAGATTCCTCCTGGCAAAAACGTGCTGAAGCTGTCGAGGAGCTGGTGGCAGATGGCAAGGCGCGGATGATATGGATGGTAGAAACTTGGGAGAAACAGGACACACACACACACGTATACATATACATACGTATAATGATGAGTTTTTTTTCATATATATATATATAGATATAGAGATAGATAGATAGATAGATAGATAGATAGATAGATAGATAGATAAGATAAGATAGATAAGATAGATAAGATAGATAAGATAGATAAGATAGATAAGATAGATAAGATAGATAAGATAGATAAGATAGATAAGATAGATAAGATAGATAAGATAGATAGATAGATAGATAGATTAGATTAGATTAGATTAGATCAAATCAGATTAGATTAGATAGATAGATAGATTGATAGATAGATAGATAGATAGATTAGATAGATAGATAGATAGATAGATAGATAGATAGATAGATAGATAGATAGATAGATAGTTAAATAAGTAATAGCATAGGAAAGGAATAAAATAATATGATATTTCATAATGATAAAATAAAATAGAAAATAATATAATTTAAGCTTCGGTGGTATCCCCAACAGCCGCAGCGTTTTATTTTTACAAATCTTTCTGAAGCGTGCTGCGAGGCCAAGCGCTGGAAATCCTGTTGAACCTGTTAAACCTGACCTGGCCCAAAGATTCCCAAAACCATCTCCGGGACCTTCTCTGCAACCTTCTCCGGAACCCGTTGAACCTGACCTGGCTCTGCACCAAAGCCTCGCAGACCTTGTCCGGAACTTTCTCCGGAACCCTGTTGAACTTGACCTGACTCTGCACCAAAGCCTCCCAGACCTTCTCCAGACCTTTCTCCGAAACCGTATTGAACCTGACCTGGCTCTGCACCAAAGCCTCCCAGGCCTTCTCCGGAACCTTCTCCGGAACCTTCTCCGGAATCCTGTTGAACCTCTTCTCCGACACTGTGTTGAATCTGACCTGG